AGGCGCCTCGACTACGCTACTTATGCGCCGTACACCCGAGGCAGGCTCGTTAACACGGATCTAAGCATCTAACTTAATACTAAAGGTGTTTGCCGCCGCCTTGTAATTAGCTTCCTCCTAACTGCCCTTCTACTTAGTAGCATCTACTAGATTAAGCTCTTAGGCCGTAGCTATAACGCTATCGTAGCGTAGGCGCATCGCTACCGGTACGGGTTTATACTTGTAATAATTGTTCCTTTAAGGGAACGTTAGCGCTACGTAAGAGAGGAGCAGGCGTCTCGAATAAGCGTCACTTACTTATAGTAGTCGCACTTGCGCTTAAACGAGCTAAAGACGGCGTTATAGTAATAGCTAACACGAAGGTGTACTAACCGCGTATAGCGGCGACAGGCCGTAGGCACCTCGACGGCGCGGCGCTTGCTTACCGACGCTTAAGCGGGGGTCGCTAGCGGGTCGGGTGCGCTACGCTTACGGGGAGTGCGTAGCGGCATAATAAAGAGTGGATGTTTAGAAGAGAAATCTATAAGGCAGAAAGAATGTTAATAAGAGGTGGTTGCTAGGGTGAGTTACTTAGCAAATAACCTACTTAGAGATCTGTAGATATAAGACCCTTACGGACAGCAGCGGTAACGCATGCGCCGCGTAGTAGGGGACTTRTTAACCCTCTCCTCGAGTAGCGGTTATTAAGGGAATTGAACCCTCGCCCTTCTTAGTACGGCATTTAGCCTACTAGAAGGAGGATAAAGTTCCGAAAGCGGCTACATCCTATATAGCTAGTTTGACTAGCCGGCTTTTATATAAATAGCCCGAAGGTTGCTTAGAAAATAGGCACTTTACTATATAGAGTCTACGGACCCCGAGCGCGACGCATACGACGCGCGCGCGCCTCCATTTCCTAAGACCACGAACTAAGGCCAGTTCGTATAGGGGGAAGGAGGTAATTATAAGGGCCGTGTAAGAGCCCTTACAATAACAGGATTAATAGAGGTGGCTAGATTAACCAACCTCAGAGAAGGGAGTACAATGTGGCCTAACTGCTTAGCGTAGGCTTGGCGCATGCATAACTCCTGCGCACAGCGCACATTCAACCTATAAGAATTAGTCTCATCTCTAATCGAGTAATCACGGGTGTCTGATACATTACTACATCTTTACCCTTACAGTCTCGATAATTACCTCTTTCGTAATATCGAAGAGCTAAAGTATCGGTACGGATATATATAGATCCTTTAGGGTCTAGAAAGCCGTCTAATATTAGGCTATTTAGGTCTATTTGTTATCTTTCTTCGTAAGCTCTATAAGTAGTTTCGCGATCTTAGAGTAGTCCTTAATAAATTTCCGGTTATAGTTAGCTAGTCTAAGGAACGATTATATATCCTTAATATTCTTAAGTAGTAGCTAGCTATAGATTAACTCCGTCTTTTTAGGGTCGATACGGATTTCTTTTATACTAATAATAAATCTAAGGAATTTAACCTCCTTTTTATAGGACTCGTATTTCTTAGGTACTATCTTAAATCTAACGTCTATAAGCCGCTAGAAGACGTTTCAGACTTATTTAATATAATTATCGAGTTCTCCTTTAGTATAGATAAGAATATCGTCTATATAGGCGATAATATATACGTCGAGTAAGTCTCGGAGGGTCTCGTTAACGAGATCCTAGTAGGACGCCGGCGTATTTATTAATCCTATTAGTATAACGAGGAACTCGTATAGTCCGTAGCGCGTCCTAAATATAGTCTTATATTCCTCGCCTTTTACTATACGGATAGTATAGAAGGCGTCTCGTAGATCGATCTTAGTAAACTAGTCCGCTCTTATAAGTCTGTTTTAACTCTCTTCGATATTAGGTAATAGATATCTATTCTTAATAGTAACCTCGTTAAGACGTCTATAGTCTATAACGAGTCGTAGTTTCCTATTTAGTTTAGGAATAAAGAGGATAGGAGATCCTACTAACGAAGTAGACTTACGGATCTATTCTTTCGCTAACTTCTCCTTTAGCTATTCGTCTAGAGCTTATAGCTCCTTAGTAGATAGCGAATATATAGGTCCTTATAGGGCTTCTTTACCGGGCTAAATATTAATTCGGTAGTCCTAGGGTTAGTATTTAGGTAGGGCGTCTAGTCCTTCCTCTTCCTAAAAGAGTCGCTTCTATTTCTAATACTCCTTAGGGATATTAGATAGTATATAACTTCTATTACTACTTATAACCTAGTAACTTCCCTAACCCTTAGGAATATCTATCCGAGCTAGATCCGGTTTTCCGGTCCTATTCGACTAGAGCTATATATAGTTTAGCTATCTTCTAGTCTTATCTACTACCGTACGCTACCGGTACGTAGATAGAATATCGACTACGTAGTCGTATTACTCGAATATAAGTACTCCTCTTCTCTAGTCGATAACTAGGTTATACTTTCTTAACTAAGATATACCTAGAACGATGTTATAACTAGCTATATTAGTAATATCTAAGATAATTTCCTTATAGTGCCGTTAGATAGTAAGTAGTAGCGATATCGTCTCTCGCTCTACGCTAGGTAAGGATAATCCGTCGACCGCGATTAATTTATACCCTATCTTCTTACGCTAGGTAGCGATCCTATATCGCATAATAAATAATTCGGAGGTAAAGTTCCCGCTCGCTCTAGAATCTATTATAGCTTATAGCCGATAACTATTAACGATAATCTATGTTCGGAAGACTATTATTAATACTTAAGCTTTTTTGGTGTTATAGTACTCTCTAGGGACGCTTATTCCCTAAGAGCCGATCCTTTTCCCGACTAGGTTTTACTAGCTTCTTTAGCTAGCTACGCGTAGATCTTTCGTTCCGTGTCTTTTACTATTATAGCGAGTTGTTATTCTCTCGCTATATCGTTATAGGCAAATTCTAWCTAATATTACTATACTAAGCGATATCTTTCTTTAAGGTCGCGAACGGCCTATCTTATCTCCTTACTAACTACTTAGTCGTTAGGGGTAATATACCTATATAGTAAGATAATACTCCCGATTAGAATCCTTTCTATAACTAACGTACTAAAGTTATAATTAACTTTAATACGTCGATATATCTAGAATATAGCGCGAATACTAATAAATATAGCGTCTAACTTAATAGGGTTAAGGTAGCGTCTTCCCTTAATAAGTAGGAAGATATTCTCGAAGTTCGTCGCTATATATTTAACTATCTTTATTATTAGTAAGAGTACGTCTACGGTAAAGTAAAGTACTTCTAGATCGGATTCCTCGTCGGTATCGGAGGTATCGTTATTTCCGTTATATTTAGAGGAGGTTTCTTCTAATTCGGAACGTTCTACTAACTCGTTCTATTCGTCCTCGTCGCTAAGTACGGGAGGATAGTTTTCCTTATTCTCGGAATAGGGTTCGTCTCTTTCTTTATCGAGCTAGGTTATTTTATTATTATCCTTAGGGCGCGGATATACCGATCCGCGTAGCGCGGACGGCTAAAACCCTACGTCCCTTTTAGAGGATATATAAGTATTATAGGTGTCGTCGTAATAGAATCGCTAGTAAAGGCTTCCGTATCTATTACGCTACTCCTTCCCGATATTATATAGAACTCGTCTAGCTATTATTCCGATAAGCCTAGTTTCCTTTCTTCCTCGTAGCTTCTATCGTAGTTTCTAATAGATATTCTCGAGGTTCTTCCCTTACTCGCTAAGCTAGATAGCGTATTAGCCGAGAGTGTTGTATTATCTAAGACTCTCGATATTCCCGGTAGTAAGGTAGTCGTTACGGAGGCCTCGTTACGTATTAAGGACCTCTTAGAGTTAGTTTTCTAGACTATCTCGCTCGTCGAGGAGTCTCCGAATACGTTAAAGTATTAAAGGTCGTTCCTAGAATAGGCGTAGTTCGTCCTCTAACTTTAGAGGAGAATTCTATTTAGGTAGTTCTATATTATTAGGGGGTATAATCGGCTAATTACTCGTCGAGGGTTCTTTTTTAGTTCCTCGACCTACGTCGTCCCTTCGTTATATTATATTAAACTATATATAATATACCTTATTCTTATCGCGGTAGTTCCTTACGATATAGCCTTACTTACTATATATATAATAAGTTATGCTTTCTAAATTCTTAGGCTTTCCTTTACCTTTTCCTATAAATCGGCGACCCTACTAGGTTACGTCGAGCTCTATTAGTCTTAGACTATAGTCGTCCCGTAGCTAGCGATTCCTATATAAGACGAAATTATTTTCCTTCGATCTATTATCCTTATAAGGAAGGTAGCCTACCTTTCCGATAGGTTTAAAGTTATATCGCTTTTCTAGGGCTCTCTCGTAGAGCTTATTATCGATATCGATTAAGACCTTAACTAATCCTTCTATATTGTTAATAGCTCGTCTATTACGTATAAGTTCGTCTTTAATAGAGTCCTTTAGTCCTTATCGGTATATAATCTAAAGGGCCTCGTCGTTCTAATCCGTAAGTTAGGTATATTTCTAGAACTTAGCGGCGTATTCGGTAGTAGAGGTCTTCTAAGTTAAGTATTAGATAATCCGAACGGTAGTAGATATCTCGTTAGAGATTCTAAATACGCTTTTTATCTTAGCCTTAAGACTCTTATAGCTAGCGAACACTCCTTTACTATCGTCTTATCTGTTACTATCTAGATAGGTTCGAAGGAATAGTTTAACCTAGTATTAGGCACGTCCTCTTAAGAAGGTTATTATAAAGATAGGTTTTAAGTTATCCGTTATAGGGTTAAATATAAAGTATATATCTAACTAGACGACCTAAAGGTCGAACTTATTACGTTCCCTATAATAGAACTTAGGTTTCCTAACCTTAAGGGAGTCGTTACTAATCTAATTAGCTAACGTATTAATAGTGCCGTTACTAGCTCGCTAGGTTCGGTCGAACCGGGTAGTATGACCACCCATAGTCACCTGATTCGTGTCAACTAGCCAAATAATCGTAAGCAAGAGGATAGAAGACAGTATTCCTCCGAAAGTTCCTGGACGCCATCAACATTCCTGCACTCCTGATCCCAAAAGCTCATATGTCCTCCCAAGGCCATCCATCTCCACCGGCGAACGGCTGCTTTCGACCTCATAGATACCTGACGAACCTTCCACGCCTGGAGAACCCTCGTGCTCTTTCCCGTACACTTGTCCTGCGTGCTCCATTCCATGCTGATCTTCAGAAGGACTTGGGCCATTTTGGTGTTTCTCTCGACGCCGACATAGCAACACTACTGCTGTGATCAACCCGATCAGCAAGAGCCCTCCGATGGCTGCCCCGACACCAATTCCCGCTTTTGCACCGGTCGACAGCTCGCTTGATTCCAAAGACGTTGTTTGAATTTCTGCGGGTGTGGTGAGTGATGTAGATCCAGTCAGGGAAATCGACGAGCCCGAAGTAACAGGAACATCTGAAGCCACACTGGTAGTAGCAGGCGCCGAAAACACCTCTTTAACAGGTCCCGGGAAATCCGCAGGTCTCCAATCGAGTTTCAAAGATTCTCCATTCATCGGATCACTGCAATCATTCCCTTCAGCTCCGCAGCACGACCAGACACCCAGAGCCGGCTGATACACAACATCATTGCGGGCATTGTTGCAAAGCAAAGGGCATACTGGATCCTTAAAGGCAGGATCAGTGCAGCCACCCAGATAGTAAGTATCATCACTCCCGGTCCTTTTGCAGACTCCATTCGCGCCACACGTGTCCCAAATCACGCAACATGACTCGACAAAGGTGGTGGGATTGTAGAGTCCTGCAGAGGAATTCCCACATCGAGTCCCAAGGTTACCCTGGACTTTGCCATAGGCCCGGCCGTTGCATTCGGGATCGTTGGACATTTCTTTGGTTGGTGTCGCGATGCCTTGAAATGATCTTATGCTTGGAAAGGCCAGATGTCAAAGTGTCAAAGCTGAATGGGCTCGCGATCGTACTTGTATACCCCCAACCTCAGCCTCACTGCGCTCTCTACCCGTCCGAGCAAATTTGACATTGCTAACCCAATCAAGGTGTGGATTTGTTGTATCCTTGAGGGTTAGAGCTGCAGCCACAGTGTCACGAGATGAGAACCAGGTCTCTTCTCCCGCGCCTAGGGGATGACGAGCGACTCAAAGTCACAATGTTCTGATATTACAACGCTGTTTTCACCAGCCAGCATGACTTGCGGTAAGTATTCATCACCTCTTGCAAGGAAGTCGGCAAGATGTAGTGGAAACGCTAAGTGCATGAGCACACGGTCCCYTGTGCTCTATGTGAATGCAGTACTTAACACCATCCTTCAGGATGGAATCCGCGATCTTCAAATCCTTCTTACAACTCTCCATATATCATGTCAAATACATGAATGCTAATTTCTTTCGAGCCCTTATCCCCGGCCTCTTTTCAAGCCATTATACAGCGTCCTCTATTCATCATCAGCCATCGAGACGCAAGTAAGAAGTTCTTTGAGCTTGGGCTGAAATGTGCAAGGCTGAAACAAATACCATGCCAACGGTTGACTTTTGYGTAATGGATCGCCTTCTTTAAGATCTACGCTGTCTATGATCCCGCTTCTTCGACTGATTTTGTCATTCCTTACGAACGAAATGTCTCTTTCGAATCTGTTCTAGATGAGTGTGGGCTTATCGCTTGCATGGTGGACTAGGCTGCATGTTCCGCTGTGAATTTTATGGTGATGGAAATGTTATCCAGAGCGTCCTTGCGTTTGATGGTGGTTAGTCTTTATCGCTTCCCTACATTTCTTTCACATCCCTTTTATTTTTCTTCATTCTACTCCCCGTCCTCTCGTCACCTCGCAACAAGACGAGTCTTTTCCTGCAGCATCAAAACTGCGACTATACCTCGTCACCATGGCTTCCGATACACCAGAGTCCTGGATCGAAGTCGGCGAATACCCTTTTCCCTCTTTGGCTATATCAAGAATTCGCCTGAGATCATCAAAGACGATCCCGATAGACTCCGAGGAATGGTTATTGATTAATGGTTGATTGGCCTTTGGAATCAGTGGTATTGAGTAATACCACCAGCGGATGAAGAAAATCGCTTCACTTCTCACTGCACTGCCTCAATTAATCAAAGCTACGCTAATCGCTTAATCATAGCGCACTAGGCTTGATTGGGTTGCACGTCGCGCTGTGAATCCTGAAGGCTTGGTCACATTCTGGACGTCTACGCGATGTCCGTCTTTTAGGGATTCATTGATCATTTCGGCTTTCTCTTTCTCGAGCTCTGCTTCTTGTTGCATGTTCACGTTTTGCAGTCCACTGCTCTGTCAAGTCCTACGAGAAACATACATATACTTCAACCAGCTCGTGCCAATCAACTACGCCATTGCCTCACGACTATAATGTCGGAGAAAAAAATCCTCGATCGATTCCAGAGTCGAACACCTCGACTCGCCTCCCCCAATTTACAAAAAACTTCCTAGCGACCACAAATTCAATTCCTCGCACGCCACAGATCCGCCACGCTTTCCCAATCAATGGAATCTCCACGGCAAAAAAATCCAATCTCATCAACTTCAAAGAGTGGCACTACACCATCAAAGACGCCGAAGATCGCACGATACTCTACACCGCGACCTGGCGAAGTCTGCATCTGAAATTCTACCCTGGCAATGATTTCGCTTCTCGATCTTTCGCGGAAGCTTCCAGTATCAATCGCCAATCTACGAGTTGCAGACTTACATATCTACGCAATACCCCCACCAGCAACTCCTCCATCATATTATTTCCCTACAATTTCTCCCTTGTCACCGCCCACGATCATTGGAATCAAGTGCTGCAGACATTTGAGTGGCGGCGTAGTAAAGGGGATGAAGTTAGAGATATCAGTGATGTGTCTTTTGGTTGGGAACTCGTTCGCATGAGTTCTGAGGTGGATGGCAAGGAGGAGGAGGAGGAGGAGATTGTTGTTGCTGTTTTGGGGTTTTCGATGGGAATGTCGCTGACGAAAGTGGCTACTGTGAGATTTTTTGGGGTCGGGGGCTGATGGGAAGTTGGGGGTGATGTGGGGTGTTGTGACTGTTTTGAGGGTTTTGAGGGTTTATGGGGGTGATGTTATGGGTTCGTTGGGGTTATAAGTGGGGGAGAGGTTGTCGAAGGGATGGGAGAATCGTAGACAGTGTCAACTTTTCCCCATCGCGGGCCAGACTTCGAATGGTCATGTCACTCTTTCAATTCGATCGATATTTGAGAGTTTACAATTTCGCCTTCGCTCCCGCCATTTCAATCTTCGCTTGATCTCTTAATAATCTCTTCAAGATCTTTCCGGAAGCATTCTTCGGAATTGCATCAACGAAGACGATTCCACCCTGTAGCTTCTTGTAATACGTCAATCGTTCTTGGATCAAATCGTTGATTTCCTTTTCACTGGGCGCCCCGTTCTTGGTTCTCCTGACAATGTATCCACGAGGTAGTTCATCGCCTTCACGAACAGGATCCGGTACGCCAATGACCGCTGCATCCACAATTTCCGGATGCGAGAGAAGAACACCTTCGACCTCTGGAGGAGCGACTGCCAACTTCATTAGTGACAATTTCAACATGACGATGTCGCAACTTAGATCTCACCTTGGAATCCACGAACTTTGATCAACTCCTGCGATCTTCATTAGCGACACATTTGATCAACAATGACACTATCGCAGCTTTAGAACTCACCTTCTTTCGATCAACGATATACCACAACTTGGTCTTCCCATCACAATACCCAATATCTCCCGTATGGAAGAAATTCTCACCATCCCAATCTCTCGCATTGGCATCAGGGTTATCGTAATACCCTTTAATAACCGTAGGACCCCGAATACAAATCTCTCCTCGAACATCATAGTCTGTGATATCTTTGCCATCATCGTCCACCAATTTAATATCGAGATTCATGATTGGAAGCCCGATACTTCCAGTCGTGTCGTGTTGTGGATACGGCATTCGCGTGGCTATACAAGAAGACTCTGTCATTCCCTATTGAGGAAAGATCAGTAATTTGGAAATGGTCACTCCTAGAGGTATAACCCACCCAACCTTGCGTTAACGGCACATCATCATTCAACAAAGCCTTCATTCTCGCCTGAGGACCCCGATCCAACGGTGCGGCACCGACTTGTCCCAGTTTCACACTTTTCAGACTATACTTCTCTCGCAAGGGGCTGTTCATCGCCTGAATCACAATAGGTGGGACAGCAGCCAGATCCGTGATTTGGAATTCCTCATGTGCTTTGAACCAAGGTTCCAGTTCGAATCTCTTCATAACAATAGTCGGGAATCCAGATCTGAGGGGCGTGGTGAAAGCCACGGGAGCAGCTGCAGCGTGGAACATTGGTAGAGCAGCTAAACGGCGTGTTCGGTAGGGTCTTGGATCCGCTTCGTTGACGAGCATATGTTGAGCTGTGAGGTTCAAGTGGGAGAGTTCGGCTGCTTTGGGGAGACCGGTTGTTCCTGAGGAGTAGAGACGTGCGGCGGCGGTTTGGTAGGCTGTTTCGTAATCGTTGAAGCGGATCCAGTCGGTTTCTCCGTGTGAGAGGAGGTCTTTCCATTGGAGATGTCCTTTTGGTACGGCGGCTTCTTCTTCTTCTTCTCCATGAGGATTGAAGATTATGACGCGTTCTTTGGGGATTTTGTTGGCGGATGCTGCTTTGAGGATGTTGGGGAGGAGTTCTGGGGCTGAGAGGATGAATTTTACGTGGGCGATCTTGGTTGTGTGGATGAGTTCGTGCTCTGTGTATGCCTTGGATTTGTTAGTCAGAGTGTTTTATCTGTTGGGGGGGGGATACTCACTGGATTGGTTCCTGCGTAAACTCCGCCGGCAGCTAGAACTCCCAGGAAAAATATTGGATAGTAGATATCGTTGAAGCTGTGTATTGATACACAGTCACYCTTTTGAAGCCCTATTGCCTTGAAACCCGCAGCAAGTTGTCTTATCAGCGTTCTTGCTTGTCGTGCCGATATTGACCGCGATGGGTCGGCAGCATCGATGTATATCGGTTCGTCCCAATCATAATTGAGATCTGAAATCGTTGTCAACTTTGACGCTTTTTGAGAGATGAGTTCTTCTGTTCCTCACCGTCAAACGTCCACGATAGGATGTCCTTGTTAGATAACGGGAACTTTTCTGCAGCGAGAAACGGCATATTGACCGATTTGGCTTGCTTGGAGGTGAATGATCCGGAACTGAACGTCAGAATAAATACCCTTTTAGTATTTAATGGACATGCGACGGCTCTCACGGGTCACTGAATGCCGAGGGTACTCTGGTAGCGTGGCGTGGACGGGAATCCCGGGAAGTCTGTCTGGTGGTACAGTACAGTACCCCAGATGCCGTTCTGTCGGGTAAACAATTTACCGAGGAAAGGGGCGCCAGGGCGGTAGGGCCGCCTGCCGTAGAGCAACCTAAGGTAGACGCAACATCATGCCACAAGTAGAGCTTGTTAGAGGTGATACAGAGCCAAGGATGCACGAACATGAGCAATGAGTAACCACTGGTGGAAGTAGAACGCCATCTTTCAAGATCAAGGCATGACCTGCATCATGCATGCATTGCTGACATCGGTTAGCCATCCTCACGGATCCACTCAGCCTGGTGGTACAAGTGTGGCTATGCGTCAGTTTTGATGATGGGCGGCTTTCATCTTCATCTTAACAGTCTCAGAGCCGCCATGCGGCGTGAAATTTACAGCAACGATGGAGCATTTACAAAATCGAATACTCCTCGATGCCACTCAACAATTGCGACGATTCCATTCCCAGCCGTCAGAGTTCCACGTCATCAAGACATTTTGAAGTAAGTCTATCTGCTGACTGATAAGACTCGATTAACGGTGTCTCGTCGTTAGCATCGGCAGACGTCGCATGAGAATATCATCGACCTGCGAAAACAGGGCGAGAAAGATGACTCTCTTCCGGCTTTGATGAGCTCGTCYGCTCGCGTCTGCAATCTTGATCCTGGGACTGAACTACGACTCATACTTCAAAGAGCACGGCAACCGCATGTTAGTGGTAAAGCTGATACTCTGCCTTTCAGAGATGCCGACTCCCTCCGCAGTACCTTCAACAACATGAATCTCCCATCATCGTACTTGAATATCGCGGATGGCTCCCTGGCAGTGTCTCGAGCTCAGATATTCCATGATCAATCAGGAAAAATAATAATTTCTTGCGAAATGATTGTATACTTCGTCTCTAAACGAGGAGACTGGTCCTTGGCCCTTTCTCACAATGCTTCGACAAAGGATACTTCAATATTCTGCAGCTTGGACGAAGTGATCGATGGAAAACCGGTAGTTGAAGATTTGATTGCCATGCAGGATCTTTCTTTCCACCCTATGCTCATGCCCTGTATTCTGTTCGAGAATGTTGTGGTGGGCATGGGCCTCAAGCGACGGCGATCGATCAAAAAGAAACTGCAGATTCTGGAACATGCCATGTCCGGTATTAGCAAATCTGGTCTGGCGTCGAACGGATCTGAAGAATCAGATGAATACGGTGCTGCCGAGTGGACAAACCTATACGAGCTACTGGATAGCTGTAGGAATGATCAAGCGAGTCGAGAAGGCCGGTATGAGTTCTGGGAAAGTTACAACGACATGATGCGGACAGGCTTTGAGTACAGCAGCGAGCTTCCATTCATCGTGGACGATGAGACGCACCGCAAAGTACACTGCGAGCTCGAGCAGTGGAGCTCTTTGACATGGCAGAAGTTGAAGAGTCTGATTGCTCGTGACAAAGACCATATTAATCGAGTGAAGAATGCCTCTACACTAGTAAGCAGCACAAATCTACGAAAAACCACAAGAGTGAACTTACGAACATTTTTCACAAGCTATACAATTTGGCGCAACAGCGGGGTATGCATTTACAATCCAAAATTGCCAGAGCCGCTCAGCGAGATAGCCAGGATATGAAGTTCATTGCGGTATTGGGATCCATCTTCTTGCCTGCCAGCTTAGTCGCGGTAAGTATGCTCCTTCGTAATGACCAGTTAGTGCCATCAGACTGACGATCGCCCCAGACTGTCTTGAATGTTCCCGAGTTCCAATTCCTTTCTGGCGCAAAACCTTTTGGAGCATATCTAGGCATTACAGTGCCAATGATCATTTTCATTGTTGTGCTTTGCATGAATCGATCTCTGCGATCAGATTGGAAGATCAGATCAGCTCCAATCAAACGTAAACTGACCGCTGATGACTTTTCTTGAAGCCATAGTGTATAGATCGACTGCGGTACATAGAGAACTACGAGACAAATCTTAGCAACTGTGCAGCGATTAGCAAGATCAAAGTCCGCAGCTTGTCCCCTTTCCCCATCTCTGTTGGGTATTATCCGGGCAGCTCTGAAGGTGAGAATATCTGATCATACCCCGGCAGTTCTGTACATCCTTCGCGCTCCTGTCGTGCGAATTCTGGCGCAAGTCTAACTCCCGGAATCCACACCCAAGAAGACTCCGTCAGAAGGTGACCCTTCCACCCATCTGGGACTTGATCAGCAACCTAACTTTCTTATAGACACTTCTTCAACTCACCTGGATTAGTCGTGTCAATAAAGTTGACCCGAACTCCCTGTTCTAGATACTTTTAAATGCTCTTTGGTCACCTTCAAACGCATGCTCTAAGAATGAAATCATGACGTGCTCCTTGTGAATCTCGGCCACTGCCATATCCTCTAATCTTTCCTGTTGTATCCGCTCTTGAACCTTTAACTGGATGATGATCAAATTCGCGTAGACATCATGTCGAAACTTTGTCTCTGTATTCTTCAAGACTGAAACCTGATCGAAACTGAAGCTCCTACGAGATTTCACGAGGTTAGCTACATTCTCAATTCTGGCCACTCCTTTGAGCTTCTAGGTTAACTCGAATGGCATTACGCTTCGCGAATCGCAGCGTGCTGATCCAAGCTTGCTTGGTATAAATACCTCTGTTCCTGCAGAAACTTTTTCATGGGGATTTTTACATTATGATTATTACCGATTATAAGATTAGATTTTCTAGACATTATAGGACTTTTTATATCACCAGAAATCGCTTAGAAAGTCCTTGGTATGTATAGGGTTAAAAGATAGTGTTTATAGATCGAGCTCCTAAGTACGGATAGAACATACTATAATGATAGCAGTAAATAAGATTAATGCAATACGTACTACGTGGGACATGACACATAGAGCATATTGATATTAGGGCTACTAAAATGTCATATAGGGGCAGACTCTTTTTTCGATCTCCTTTGTGGTCACCACAACCAAAACTGCATTGGAGAATAGGTAATTTGTAATCTGATAATATTAAATAAAAGATCATACTCATCCAAGTCCAAAATTGCCCAATATTTAGTAACAGTCTCGAGATAGCGGGCGATGCCCATCCCACATGGATGGTCACACTAGTTGAGCTACATAAGGTACACGGAGCTCCGAAATCACACCAGATTACACGAGATCACAAGTAATATAGCAAGCTACATAGCTCTCCACAGCCTTACTGCCCACTAACCGAGCAAAAGAAACAATAAAAGAGGGGAGACATGGCCACACCTGCTAGGAGACTACTTCCTAGCTTTGTGTACGTTTATCCATTATCGTTTCAAAGTAAGACATTGCTGCTACCAAGATGGACAGGACCAATGCCAATCCCGTATCAACTCACCTTGATCCGCGTGATATCCCCCGTGCTGTAAAACTGTTAAGAGAGATAGTAGTCCTCGGCGATAGTATACCTCAAATGACCAATCTGGAGCGAAAAGGGCTCCTGAAAACCGCTCAATCATTGGTACGAGCGCTAGAAACACCAGTGGAAGCGATCGCTAGGTCCTGGATGGTGGAAGTGAGTTGATCTCCAATTTGTCTTTCCCTAAGGCTGACAACGGTATATCACAGCCTGAGCTTCACGCAGCTATCGATATCGCATATGGTCTTGGCTTGTTCTCTGAGATGTCAAAGATGGAAGACAATACAGCAACTGTAAATGAGCTTGCTGAGATATGTGGCGCAGATCCTATGCTTCTAAGTATGAGTGCTCGATTCTGATCTAAGCACCATACCTGATTGACCTCGGAACAGGACGTCTGCTGAAGCACATAGCGGCCATGGAAGTCGTTGTGGAGACTAGTCTCGACAGCTACGGACCAAACAGTTATTCGCGAGCTCTTTCAACCTCTCATTACGCCGACTGGATACCTACAACGTAAGATCCCCCACCCGCGAGAGACACTCTTAACTTGGTCCCTGATTTCGATAGTTCACGTTCAATTGGTCCTGCCCTGTATACACTTCCCGAGTATCTCCGCAAAAACGGATACAAGAATCCCGACGATCCAAGCAACACAGCATTCGGACTGTCAAAGAAGACTGAAGAAACATTCTACACTTGGCTTATGAAAGAGATGGTGAGACCGCGGCACTTTTCAACAACTCTATGCTGGCGTATCGTGATACTCTTGGAAGCTGGATCCATCCTGATTTCTATCCCGTACAAGAGAGACTTCTGTCCAGCGCCAAGATAGCCGCAGATGCTGTTCTCATCGTGGATGTCGGTTGGGGGTCTTGGGCAAGATCTCCTTGCTTTCGACAAGAGCTACCCTATTCATCCTGGTCGTCTTGTATGTACTTCAGGACCTCCCACATGTCATCGGATCGATCGATGCAAACGAGACTTTTGAATCGATGAGTCATGATTTCTTCGACGAGCAACCAGTCAAGGGTACGTTAAGTGTTTCTTTGCATTTTTTTCATTTTCAAAGCGATACTGATGTGGATTTAAAAGGGGCTCGCGTGTATTACATTCATCATTCCGTGCTGAATGACTGGCCGGATGCTGCATGTCTGCGAATTCTCAAGCCACTTGTTACTGCTATGGAGCGAAATTACAGCAAACTTTTGATCATTGAGCCGATTGTTACTGATCGAGATGCTGATCCGGAGATCACTGGGTTGGACATCGTTATGATGAGTCTCTTCTCGGCGTGTGAGAGACAAGAGAGTGCATGGCGTTCTTCTTTGTTGGCCGATGCTGGTCTGACTGTAGTGAAGATCTGGACTCATCCAGAAGTAAGCGAGAGTCTCTGATCGAATGCGAGCTGGCATAGAATCTCATCTGCACACATGACGAGTGACTAGATTCCAAAATGTACGTACTTCTTTAGCGATGCAGCATATGAAAGCTTTTTCCTTTCAAATCCTCGGATGGGGATACTGTGCATGTCTGGCTCATGCAGTCAGAGTCAAGCTCTAGCCAGGGGCAACCTACATCTCGATTAGCTGTGCCAGTCGCAACAAACGACACAGCCTTGTGGCGGCATCACTCCCACATGATGTGGGCATGTGATGGTATGAACCCCCCCCCACAGCAGAATATCGACGTGGGATGTATAGCATGAAACTCATCAGTAGTGTATATTCATGTAGTAGTTTACCACCAATACTATAAAGGCGAGAGCAAGTCCAGGATCTCATTCTGCTACTTTTCTTCTCTCTCTCAAGCATAATTACTCACCTGAATATCCAATGGCAGATGTCGACGTCTTTCAAAATTGCTACATCCCAGACGATCCCAACATCTCCCAAGAAGCAAAAGCAATCTTGACCGGATATAGCAACATCCCTGATGGCGACTTGACTCCGCATGTACGAGCCATTGTAGGTCAAAAAAACTTCAAGATGTCCCTCCCCCACAATGTCAACCCACTGATATAATTTCGCAGCGTAAGAAGGCTTGGGAAATCTATCAGTACCCTTGTATTGGATACTATAACTTCATAGACTTTAGTATTGGTAACTCTCGTATATATGAGGAAGTGCTACATGAAGTCAAGCATGGAGCAACGTTTCTTGACTTGGGCTGTTGTTTCGGGTGGGTTCATTCATCTCGGAGTTTAGTTCCCCAAACGCACCTCTGATCATCGCGGCTGATATTTTTCGAGCAGGCAAGACGTCCGCAAGCTAGTCTTTGACGGATGCCCTTCGCAAARCATTTCCGCAAGTGAACTCGAACCTGGATTCATCGAGCTAGGCTACGAGCTTTTCCAAGACAAAGCAAAGGTTACAGGCGAATTTCACCTGTGGAGATTTCTTCGCGCCGGAGGAAATGGCGGGTCTCAAAGGGAAGAAATCCTTCGATTTCATCCATGCGGGGGGCTTTTTTTTTCCATTTGTTTACTTGGGATGAGCAGGTGGAAGTTATGTCTCGGGCAGTCAATTTGCTGAAGAAGAGATCCGGATCAGTTATTTTTGGGAGGCAAGCTGCGGTTGATGTATGTGGACCTTTTGCGGAGTTTCAAGTTAGGTCTGGGCCGATGTATAGGCATAATGAGATGTCTTTTCGGGAATTGGTGAGGGAGGTTTCTGGGGAGACGGGGGTTGAGTTTGAAATTGAAGTGGATGTTCCTGGGGCCTCCTGGCACCAACAGTTTCAAGGCGGATGGAAGGTCTTGAGCTTCGTCTTGCGTTGTGTAGAGTATGAATAATGAAAGAGACAGATTTGCTCGGAAGCCTGGCATTAAATATGAGAGATACAAAGTATAATCTTGTGAGAATTGTCATTATTTGGGAAGAACAAAAGGGAATCGTCGACATCAACRTACATAGATTGGTGCGGTTCGAAGTGACACCTCCAAATCCCAGCTTCAGGTTGACTTCTCGGCTGGTAGAGCTTTGATCACAGGTACTCATCTTCATCCATATCATCATAGACCCAATGATCTCTTACAGCGACTCTTTCAAGCTCCGTCTCCGCCTCTTCGAGACATATCTCCTTCATCCGGGCAATAGGTTTCCACAGCAGCCTCGTAATTCTCACTCGATACCCAGCCTTCTGGACCCAGACCAAGCATCTCCATGGAGCCCCTCAATTGTTCCACCGCCTCACGCTCGAGTTCGTCGAGGCGAAAGCATTCCTGCTCTTCCTCTTCAGTGAAGGTAATTGGACATGGCACTTCGACGAGCTGACGCCATTGCTGCTTTAGGAATATAAGGCTTGACCGGAGTGGAATGTTATCGCCTTGCCAGGGTGCAGATGATAAATCGTAGACTTTGCGTCTCGCAATCGCAAACGGAATGGTTAGTGCTTCGTAGTGTGAGGGGTTGCTTCTCGATGTTTCTGCGATGTAGAATTGATGAAGCCGTTGCTGGWCGAAAAGTTCGGACTGATTCGGTGTGTTGTTGTCCTCATCTATGATGGATGTTTGATCAAGTCTTTGAGGTGTCTCCGGGCTTGAGGCTGAATCAGAATTGTCTAGGTCATCGGGAATACCGGATTGGAGAAACAGGGGGAGTATGGTGGCGTTTTGCCAGTCAATCAATGAAGTAATCTCATAATCGTCTGAAACGAAAATATTGCTGGGTCGAAGGTCAGGATGCCTAATAACTGGTCGGACAAGTGCTTCGCTGTCCGGAATGAGCCTGCTAGAAATTTGTAGGTATTTCCGAAGGCTGTCCAGATGAACTGAACGTATTTGCTTTTCCAGGTTGAATGTTTTCCCTCAACAAACGGTTGAACGGGAACAATGGACGACCGTATCGGGCCAGGTATTCGATTTTCTTTCCTTGCACCAGAATTCAAAACAGTCTCTGTCTCCGTGTCTAGCGTGCATTAGTACACCTCTATAGAATCTCCGTATCGGTAACTCACGAGGACCACGGTTAACGTCCAGTCCACTTCTTTTGCGATACTAGAAGGGCAAGCTTGTGCTTGGACCGACGTGTAAGGAACCCGAGCCGCTAGAGTCGCTAGATTCTACTGCTAGCTTTGTAGAGGCCGCGGTCAAATTCTCTCAGGAAATATAAACTACCACTTGCTGGAACACGAATCTGAAACAGACAACTCTCCAAGGCAACAAGACTCTTTATGAATCGAAGGCGATTGTTTTCGTTCATGTCGGCCCAGAGAGTTCCCAGATTCTTTCCGGAACGGAACTCTAGGAGTATATATTCCGTTTCGGCCAAGTTTTTCAGTTGTAGCCGAGTAGCCATATATCTCTGGAACTGGTATGCCCTTTGATCGAAGAAAGGACATCGTAGCGGCTTCACTAGCGACAAGTTGCTGTCGCGGTTCTGTGACTGGATATGGGATACGAGCAACGAGTTTGAAATCATCGCGGAATCGAATGACAAAGGCACGATTGGCCGCTCCTTCGCCGAGAGTTTGGTGATGGAATGGATGTCTTCTACCTTCCGGGACACTGCTTTGGCAGCTAGACGCTGGAGTCCGGCGACGTTGAATGTCCGTTCTCGCTCTTTGAAACGTTGATTCTCATTGTATCTACCCACGTAGTCAGCGCGTAGATAGCAAAGAAGGGATCATCGATGTATATACCCACACCCATCGACCAGATGTATACTTGAATAGTTCGTGAGCACTGCTCGGAGATGGAAGAGACTGGCTGGAGTCGACCAATTTCGTGAGTCTCCTATCGGAAGCTTGTAGCTTGAGACGTGTCGCACTTTGAGTCGCTGTAGGACGCAAAGACGGCAAGCAAAACAGCTTCATGATGATGCGGTACGGTATTCGATGACCAAAGTGTCAGAAAGCGGAAAAGCACAAAAGATCAGATCATCTCATGATCCAAGCTTCTCGCCTAACTCCCTTCGGGTGTTACCAATGAATTTCTGTTTATGGAGGCTCTGGGTGTTGAAAGACGCGGAGATGAGAATTTTTACTATAGGGGATCGTTGGATCACTTTAGTATACTAGTAGATATAGCCCTCCTATTATTCTCGTCTAGCTTATATATCCTCCTAGTCGGTACCTATTATCCCTTTAGACTTAATATATATTTAAATACGAGAACGATCTTCTTAGACGTATCGGTTTTAGGCAATACCTAGTAAGCATATAATCTAATTTCAGCCCGCTCGAACTTCAAAAAGTAACTGTTCGGCATTATCCCGGGTAATTTGAAGTGAATTCTTCACAGGTCAAGTCAAGCGTAAGGTAGATAAAAGGCCATTACCGGGCGACGGGAGCCTTAATCCAACCATCGTGGCTTCCTCTACTTGTTTCRTATGGGTCTTGCTAGGAAAGGCGTACTCTAGGCTTTCTAATAGTGTACTTTACTACACTATCCACGTCTTGTTTGTGAGTTGACGTGGTTAATATCACGAGATTTCTGGTTGTTGTTGTTGTTCAGAAGATGGAAGGATAGTTCAATCGGTAGATTTGTAGTGAGTAGGTAGGAAAGTTGGGAAATGGGTGGTATCATACCCTACCCTACCCGAGAAAGCATGCATTGCATTCCACTATCAACCCCACGCTCCCTCAATCTCTCRCTCCCCATTCTTCTCCAACCCACTCAACTCCCTCCTCTCCGGAACAGCATCCAAAGCCCTCTGAAAAATCCCCCTCAACGTCTCGGGATCCTCCAATCCCACACTAAACCGCACCAACTCCACGGGACACCCAAACCCTCYCGCCCACTCCTGCTCAGCAAAATGCGCCAGCAAAACAAACGGWCACGCAAGAGTGAAATTCGTGCCGAGACTCGGTCCTTTAGCAGCTTCCAAATAATCGAAGAAAATCTCCGCGTCGCCGACCGAGTGGAAGATGGCGGAGACGAGGCCGCCGTAGCCGCCCGAGGGGAGTTTGCAGGCGTCGTAGAAGGGTTTGGTATCGGAGAGTTCCGGGTAGTGGACTTTGTGGATTTTGGGCGAGGTGGAGAGGAGGTGGGCGAGCATGCTGGCGTTGGAATTGATGCGTGCGATGCGCGAGACGAAGTCGCGGGAGTTGCGCTCGAGGTACATGGCGTCTTCTTCGAAGACGTTGTCTTGGTAGGTTTCTTCGAGGATGTCTTTTAGTTTCTGGTAGAATGCTCCTCGTGGATTGAGGATGAGAGCGCCGCCCATGACGTTGGAGTCGCCGGAGAAGACTTTGGTGAGGGAGGAGACGATGATGTCTGCGAGAGGGAGGAGGTGGACGTTGAGGAAGTTGCCGATGGTTTCGTCGACTACAATTGCGAAGGAGTAGGTGTCTGCGAGATGGCGGAGACGGTGGAGGTCGGGCGTGCGAAGGAGGGGGTTTCCGGGGAATTCGAGGTAGAGGGCCATGAATCTCTCTCCTCTTTGGAGCCGTTTTTCGAGAGCGTTAATGTCGTCTGTGTTTCCGAAGCCGTAGAAGAGGGCTCCGGGCCCGAATTTCTCCAGGACTTTGAGGGTGTCGACGTAGGGGAATCCGTACATGATGCTGGTGGATGCTCCGCGGGCGGCCATTAAGATTTGATGGGAGTGAAAGATGGCATTCATTCCACAGGGGTAGAGGTAGATGTCACTGAGAGAGAAGGACGGAAGACCTTCGGAGCGAAGCATGGGGGAGGGAGTTGCGGTCGGGTGGTCGATGTGGGTGGTGAGAGATCCGGCGATGCGTTTGCGGATGGCGAGCTTGGCGGAGCGGGAGAAGGAGAGGTCGAGATTGCGGCCAAAGCGGGCTTCCACAAAGTCGGAAGCCGTGTCGATTGTGAGGTCGTGAGAATGGTCGCCATTTGTATGTTTGGTTGTTGCTCCCGTCAGGTCGGTTGATGTTTGTCGTTGATAGCGTTTTGGTCCCTTGGTCACACGGATTGGAGCCGACGACTTTTCCACCACCAGAAAGTGGTCGTCGAATGCCTTTTGGCAGAACTCGGCGCGGCGGGATTGAACGCCCTCTCCTGTGTGCTGCCAGAAGGACTTGGCGGTGGGCCAGAGGACGGCGGGGAAGATGACGGCGGAGATGTGGGGGAGAACCTTGGTGGGGTCTGCAGTGGCGGCTTGCTCGGGATGAGGGATAAAGTCGAGTTGACGGACCAAGGAAGGATCGACTGCTCGATTTTGGCGGAGGAGGAAGTCTCGACATCTGGTGGCACACTGTGGGGTGGGGAAGAGCATGGCCTGTTCCGTTTGAGGGTGGCCATGGTGGCTGAGGATATCTTGGGCCAGTTTCTGGATCGATTTGTGGATGAAAAACCTATATTTGAATGATATTGATGAGAAGATATCAAATTTGGTGGGTGATGGAGAAAAGTAAGTACCTGGGATAACCCGTTTGCATCTTGTCGACGACGGATTGATCGCCTTCTTCATACGCCACATTGGCTTTCCATGTGGGTAACGAGACGCTCACGGCCTGGAATGAGGTCAGTCAGCATGCCATGAATTCAATCCAATAAACATGATATCAATGAATGCGAACTATCTCGTACATGTGGCGTATCAGCGGGAATCGACTCTCCCACATTATCATTCCAGGCCAATGCCTCGGAGTGTCCGTWCATCGTGAAGAAAGAGTGTCCAAAGACCCTGTAAATGAGGTGTTGAGAAGTGAAATGGACAGGAAAAGTGGTCAAGCGAGAAATATCGATGCATCTGTGTTATGCGAGTCACACGAGTCGGCATTGATCAGCGATATTCGGCTTCGACATCCGAACTTCGGCGATTGATCCCTGCACTGCATCCCCACGTGGCGGGCGTCGCAAAGCTTGAACCTCTGATGAACTTTTTGGGCCCAAAAAAGGTTACCTTACCTACCCACCCACCCATTCTCCCTCCACCGACAGCAACATGGCCGCCCACGCGAGCAAAAAGAGGAAGACGTCACATGTTTCATCGAGTGAAGAGGAGGACGATGCCTCGTTTGCATCTTTCGGCGACAACGATGGTAGCGAGGAAGCGATGAGCGGAGTGGAGGAGGAGGAGGATGAGATGGAGGTAGAGGATGAGATGGGGGAGGAGGGGGGTGAAGACAACGACGACGACGACGACGACATGCCACCCAAACCAGCGACAGCAGAGAAGAAAAAGAAGGCGACGGCCCCAACAGCGACGAACCCCCCTCCGACCGCTGCACAATTGGCCTCGGCCAGTGGATTCAAGTCGAATGTCTTTCAGCTGCAAAGTGATGAACTTTTGGCCCAAATCCGCCCCAAAACGACGGGAAAGGCGGTCAAAGCAGGCGAGACGGCACTGCATCAGATCAAAGGGTCCGTGGAGAAGATTGCCCCCAACGGCCCATTTCTCGTGTCGGATGCCGAACGACACCTCCTGCGAACCAAAGTCGCCGTTCCCTTCCCCACCCCTCGTCCCGCCGCCGATGCGCAATACAAGTTTGCATATGCCCGACCCGCCAACATCAATGTGGTCGGAAGTTTTGCCCTCAAGACGGCCAGTCGGACCCAGGAAGGGGTGGAAATCGACATGGTCGTCGTCATGCCTGCCAGCCTCTTCGAAGACAAGGATTACCTCAACCATCGCTACTTCTACAAACGCGCCTACTATCTGGCCAGCATCGCTGCGGGCTTGAAGGTCGCCCACAAAGGCGAATTCTCCCTCAAATTCCAACAACMCCATGGAAATCCCCTCAAACCGATCTTGGTCGTGTCTCCCGCACAACCAACCGGAAAGGATGCGCCTCCCGCTCCCAAATGGCGCATCAACATCATCCCGTGTCTTGCGCCCGATCAATTCCCTGCCGAGAAGCTCAAGCTGGATAAGAATGGTGTCAGAAGTGGCCAGGAAAACACTCCCTTCTACAACTCTTCCCTCCGCTCTGACATGCTGATGACCAGCTACTTGAAAACTCTGCACACCGCCACCAAATCTTGTGAATCCTACATGGATGCCTGTCTTCTGGGCGGCACCTGGCTCAGACAGCGTGGGTTTGCCTCTTCCTCCGAAAGGGGAGGATTCGGCAATTTCGAGTGGAATGCTCTCATGGCCTTGTGTCTGCAAGGCGGTGGACCCAACGGAAAGGGCTTGTTGAGCACGGGCTACAGCAGCTATCAACTCTTCAAGGCCACTCTTCAGCTCCTCGCCATGAAGGACTTTCTCAAACATCCTCTCAATATGAGTGGTAATGATACACCAACCCCGGTGAATGCCACACCCGTAGTGTGGGATGGGGCGAAAAGCCACAATCTCCTCTTCAAAATGTCCCAGTCATCCTATCGACTGCTCCGGAATGAAGCCAAGTTGACGCTGATCGCACTGGGAGATCAGATTCATGACGGCTTCGATGCCACCTTCATCCTCCGTATTGATCAACCTCTCTACCGCTTCGACTACACCGTCGAGGTTCCGGAACGTCTTCTCATCAACGCCGAAACCCAAGACCACCATCCAGATGATCATCTCAGCAAACTCTACGACACSCTCAAGAAAGGTCTGGGAGATCGAGTCTCCCAAATCACAATCTCAAAACCTACCCTCGAATCATGGGCTTTGGGATCCTCCCGTCCCACACCAAAAGGCAACATCTCCATCGGTCTATTGGTCAATCCCGACACTGTCAAACGTCTGGTCGATCACGGCCCAGCTGCAGAGAACAAATCGGAAGCTGCTTCCTTCCGCTCCTTCTGGGGAGACAAATCCGAGCTTCGTCGTTTCAAAGACGGTAGCATTCTTGAAAGTCTCATCTGGACATCTCCCGCAGAAAGTGGCGGCCAATCGGTTTTGGAGCAAATCATCGGTTACCTACTCAACCGCCACTTCAACCTGCCCACAATGGAAGACATCAAATTCCACGGCGACAACTTCACCAAGCTCCTCCGAGGTAGTACCGACATCTCACTCTTCGCCCCATTGATGGAACGCTACCGCCAATTTGAGAATGACATCCGCGAGTTGAGAGACCTTCCCCTCTCCATCCGTCAAATTATGCCCGCAGACCCTCAACTCTGCTACTCCACCATCCTACCTCCATCCGCCAACAAACTCCCCATCCCCTCGGATGTTGTCCTCCAATTCGAAGGCTCAGGCCGATGGCCCGATGATCTCATCGCAATCCAACGAACCAAAATCGCCTTTCTATTGATGATCTCACAAATGCTCTCAACTGCCCACTCAAATCTCACCTGTCGCATCGGCCTTGAGAATGAAACCAACCCCACCTTCAATCAAGCCTTTATGGACATCACATATGACCTCACCACAACCTTCCGTCTGAGAATCTACCACGACAGAGAACAACATCTTCACCAACGCACCCTCTCAGACAAGACCTCCGACCCCAAATCCCGCGAACTCGCCGCCACAGGTCTCGCAACCTACAAAAAATCCTTCCTCCTCCTCCCCGCTCAGACCCAAGCCCTGATCCGCTTAAGCACCCGCTTTCCAGCCCTTTCCGGTTCAATCCGCCTCCTGAAGAAATGGTTTCAATCGCACAACCTCTCAAACCACTTCCCAGACCCTCTAATCGAACTCCTCGTAGTACGAACCTTCACCAACCCTCCCCCCTACGCCGTCCCCACAACCCCTCACACAGGATTCTTACGCACACTAGCATGGATAGCAAGATGGGACTGGCGCGCCGAACCCCTCATCGTCGACCTCTCCACCGAACGCYCGGATCTCCTGACAGAGAAGACAGTGCGAAGTATCCGCACCACTTTTGAAGCGTGGAGAAAACTCGACCCGGGAATGAACCGCGTGGCGCTCTTCGCGGCTAGTTCCGTGGATGAGGAAGGAACAGCATGGACGGACCCTCGACCTGGAAAAGTCGTCGCGGGACGCATGACGGCTCTTGCTCGCGCTGCTGTTGCGGAAATTGGAAATAAGGGATTCGAGGTGGAAATTCTGCAGCTTTTTTGTAGTCCGCTGACGGATTTCGATTTTGTGTTACATCTTTCCTCCTCTTCTAATAAGGGGGGTAAGAGTGCAGGAGGAAAAAGTAAGGGTTTCAAGAATTTAGAAATCTCTGCTGATGGAAGGGATGATGTGGAACGGATTGGATACTCTTCTCATGCTGAGTATTTGGTTGAGTTGGAGGAGGTTTATGGGTCTTCGGTGTTGTTGTTTTCTGGAGGGGAGGAAGGGGGTGTTATTGCTGGATTATGGAATCCTTGTTTGGGGGAGAGGAGGGGGTGGAAGGTGAATTTTGGGGTTTCTACTTTTCCTGTTGTTGTTGAGGGGAAAGGGGATGTTGTTGTGGAGGCGGTTGTGGATAAGGAGGGTATGCTTATGGAAATGGGTAGGTTGGGTGGGGATTTGGTTGCTAGAGTTGAGGTTATTAAAGGGTGATGTGAATTCACTCATTTGCTTGGGATAGTTTAAAGGAATGAATACCTCGAGTTGTAGAGGATCAAAGGAAATTGTTAGAAGAAAGTCTAGATGATTAAGCGACGGGAGCAGTTGTTGACGTAAATGGGGGTATGTACGACCGAGGTACCTAGGGCTGGGGAGGTGATACCTGACGACGCAATTGCGGCGTCCGGCGGCGGGGCAGAGGGAGAGATTGTTCAGACGATTTATGTTGAGGTCTCGGTAAAGAGATGGGGAATAATGATGAAGGTGAGATGGTATGTCAATTTAGCCGTATATCCTGGGACGTCTAATAGTAGGGGTTAGTTTTAGCCCCCCTTTTTGAGTGGGATTTTCTCCTCTTCTTGGATTGATTTATTAGCGAAGGAGTAAGTATAGGAAAGAATTTTCAACCGGTGGTGAGAATGTCCGATCTACCTATATGCCATATATGAATCTTCGGCTCTCGGGTGAACAATGTGCCCGATTGTTCTGTTTGTTTTGTGGGGGCCCTGGGATCTTTTAGGCGATTGAAAGTGGGACTTTTTGAGAGCTATTTGGTGTGCTATGTGGGTAAGTACTTGGTGAGGGGATGAGTTCTAAGGGCGATATGATAAGGTATCTATCTTACTTTGCGATCTTTTGTGACTTGATCTCTTTCTTCTCTTTCTGCTTTCGCCTTCACTAGTCTATTCTCCAGCGATGGGAATTTTCCGCTATTTTATTAGCGGACATGGTTTTCTACAGGTCTTGCTACTAGCTACAGTAGCATCGGCTTTACTAGGAAGCCGTAACGATGTTGTTGCTCATAGACACAGCATCAAGACACATCTTTGTGAATCGAACAACAACATCACGGGTCTTCCTATGGGATCTTTCGACTCACATCATCATGTCATGAACGACATCACGTACGTCCGTCCCTCCCACCGACAACCCCTTTCCATCAACAACAACCTAATCCTCAACAATCCCCTCCAACAGCCATCCTCCCCTCCCAAACGCCCTCTACAAACCCGGAATCCACACAATCTGGTCCAACGTCCTCTTCGAAACATCTCTAGGTTGCAACCACGTCATCCTCGTACAACCCTCCTTCTACGGCGCCGACAATACCTTTATGCTCAACGCTCTAGTCGGCTATGGTCCCGAGCGAGCCCGAGCAGTAGTAGTTTTCGACGCCGAAAATATCACCACGCAGCAGCTACAAGAGTGGGATGATATAGGCGTTCGAGGCGTGCGTTTGAATTTCGCTTCTACGGAACGTATTCTTACCAAAGAGGAATTACGGGGTATGTTGGTGAGGTATGCGGAATTGGTCAGGCCTTGGGATTGGGTGGTGCAGTTATACATCAATATGGAGCAGATTCCTAGTATTGAGGATGTGGTGATGGGACTTGGGGTACGGGTAGTATTTGATCATATGGGTGCTCCGCAACTCCCCGAGTCCTTAACAGGAGATCTGATCAATCCTTATGGAATTACGGGATTTGGAAGTCTGGTCCGTTTGCTACAGCAGGGGAATTCGTACGTGAAGATTTCGGCGCCGTACCGATTTTCCCGCACGGGAGGACCTTTGTATCGGGATCTGGAGACTTTGATCAAGGAGCTGGTGAGGGTTGCGCCGCGGAGAGTGGTTTATGCTTCTGATTGGCCGCATACGAGATTTGATGGGTTGGATATTGTGCCTTGGACAAGGAATTTGAGGGAACTTGTGGGGGGATTGGGAGAGGGGGTGGTGGAAGGGTTGTTTAGGGATAATGCTGAGGGTTTGTGGAGGTCGAGGTGAGGATGGGTGGAGAGATTTCTTGGGGATAGTTTCAGGGGTGGAAAGGAAGAAACAGTAACTCGTGGGGTGTAGATGTGGGCTAAGAGTGCTAAGCGGGAGATGGGCGATTCATGTGGCTCACTGCCTGTGGGAAACCGCCGTGTGGCTCTGTTAGGCTTACTATCCTGTCAAGACGCTCCACACGTATGTCGACACGTCGTGGTGCCAGYTTGGATTGCTTTCCCTTTCATTCTCTTCTTGTGGTCGCTTGCTCTCGAATCTCCAACCGCGATTGATACCGTTCCGGGCTCCTCTTGAATCTCAGTCATCTTTCTCTGCTTCTCCAAGATGCTCTGCCACCTCCTGGGCCATTTGTTACAGACAGGGATCTCAGACGCAGCACGTGACTGCTCCACTCGTCATTACTGATGTCGGTGATCCTGATGAATGCTATGTAGCTTCATGTGGCATACCTATCATCGAGGTCGTTAAGATTCGGCAACATTCACTTCTGAGGATTCACTCACTTGATTTGTAATGCACAAGCTTCTAGCAATCAGGCTAGTGAATATACATAGGTTGGCATTCACTCGTTAGATAGGCAAGCAATCAAGTCATCAATCTCCATATGGCTGTTCTGCGAGACACAAACCTACCTACCTAGGACCTAACTCCGGCACGGTAAATAGTTTATCCGAATCGAGTTCTCCGGACTTCGGCCGGCTGCGGGTGATCTTCCAACTTCCGACATATCAACCATCATCAACAACAATCGCTAATAGGAGGCACAAAGGACACTTTTCTGTAATTGAATCCCCTGACCAGAAGCTAACAGTACGCTACACGATGAAATGACTTCCAACGAGGAAGTGTCTCATTGTACGCGAAGGAACCCTGAGAGTGTACGCGACCTAGCCACAGCTGCTCAGCCGTATCACCTATATGAGAACATGGACAGCTCACAAATTTGTGAGGGAACTGAAAAAATCTTACGCGATGTGCTCAGTGGATGGAGATGATCAATGCCGGGGCCGGTACCGGCAAGCACTCTCAACATCTTTTCGTGGCTGCTTTGATTACAGGGCTTCTCTTCGCATCCCTTTCAAGCCAAATTTTCGAGGTTTGAGAGGCTCGTTATCTTGCTCCGTTAGACGACCACAATTCTCAACTGCGGGGGAAAAGAGCTGGAGTAACATTATTCATTCAATCTCTACATACATACAGCACCCCTGCTAGTGACTTGTACCCACTCTCAAGCTTGACGACCTCTGCAATTCAAGCTCCTAGAATTGTTGGTGGCGTACTTCCTGGCTCCTACATTCGTCGCTCTTACTGGATCGCTGGCATCTCGTGTAGTGGGAACATGACACCAATGCAATTTATTGGCCCTCGCGACCGGCAACTCGATATAGATGTCACCGTGGAGTCCTGCAATGCGCCTTACACGCTTACTCACCAGCGACTACTTCTATCTAGAGTCTAGAGTCTAGATCGCTCGCCAATTTCCGAGCCCATGCACGTAGTCGCGCGCATCTACAGCATCTGGCCCGTATCTGGGAATTGATCGTTCGTGTGTAACCTAAAGATTCCTAGGCGAAGCAATCGACTCCGGCAACTGCTTCGCAAGGACTTCCCGTGGGCACTATGTTTTCCAATGCGATGAGACCCAGCATCCAAGTCCACCGCGACACAGCGATTAGAGCAGGGTAAGATAACGCCACAATTGAGAGGCAGGCTCTTGTTCTGAGATCAAATCTGGCATTCTGGCTAGAAGTTGAGACCGGTGTACTGCGGCACTTTCGTTGCCTTCTAAGCATTCGTGCCGTTTCTCCCCGCCTACCAACAACCGGATGAATTCGCGCGCGCGAGGCTGAGGAAACAGGTAGTACAACCACACGATTGTGCGTCTTATCTTGATTCATGGCCGGGATGTGACAGTATCCAGAAACCTTCACTTCCCCAGACTTTGTCCTTGTGAACAACGATATCACACTCTGCAACTTGTGATGAAACAGAACATTGGAACCACAGCGAAGCTCGTAGCGAGTCGAAATGATGAGTATGAACCTCATTGTTGTCCATCATGATAGAAATACTCTGGTATCAACCTCAATCCTTCTGGTACTTGATCTCTAGCGCAATCATCGAGTTCGACTGATTTGTCGACTTTGTCTGAAAGACCAGACGACCAACGCCGTCTTCAATGCCACTAATGGCAGCGGCCAGATCTTGGAACTCAAGATTTCTTTGGTTGGCCAGTTGATGTAGAACCAAGTCGCGACAGCGCAGTGCGGCTTCGGTTTTCGGATCTAAAACACCCACAACGGTCGGGACCATCCAAGCAACTAGTATGAGGGTAGCGGCAGGGTTAGCTTTCAAGATGCTACGATGTGCTCGTAGTTCAGCCACCACCTGCGAGAGGACCACTTTGTGTTGAACAAACACGGATGGGACTGGGACTTTCAATATATAGACTGCGGCATTGTAGATATTCTGTTGTGAGCCAAGGTACCGGGTCTGGACTCTCAGTCGATCTCCAGCCATGCCAGGGGTCGTCGGCGTACCCCCTAGTACTGAAGATAAAGAGGTCTTGAGTTCGAGGATTTCACCATGGGGAATGTGTTCCCAGCTTTGGATGACCGTACTTAGAGATGAAAATCGCTCCGTTAATGTGTTTGCGACGTCCAGTAGTTCTGTTGATCGGGCTCCAATCTATGAACAAGGATCGTCAATCACATGGTCACATTCCAGTCTTAGCGTATGCCCATTACTTACGAGTACTACCAAATTGTTCCCTTTCATACTCGCCCAATCCAGGCCAAGTAGCAGCTCTTTGAACTGCCCCGCCGAGGAGGCCGCCAAAGTTTCATCAAGAGCAGATAGTTGTCGCCGGAATTTGGAATCCTGCTCGCAAGCGGACAGAATTGTTTTTGTGGATCCAGATTGCAGGCTAAACGAGCTCTCGAGTGGCTGTTCAGAAGCACCATAGAATCTCGTGGCTCGGCTCATGTGTAGAGCAGAAGGAAGTGAGACATCACAAATGAATGAAAGAGCGTCGCTGGATGATAGCCTAGCCACAAAATCCGCAGAGAGCTGATTGTGTGCAACGAAGCCAGGTATTGGCTCAGATAGAAATGGGACGGTGGCTACCATTCTCACTACTCTCGTGAGATGGTCCTCGGGGACGTTGACGAGATCGGCAACATCGTGGAAAGCAAGCATTTGCTTCAAGGGTATGCAGGCCAGTACCTGAAAGTCGCACAGCCATTGTAGGCAGACGAGGATCTGGGACTTGAGGGAGATGTTCAGTCAGCGTACTGCTCAAAGAGGAATACAGGGGCTATTCACCTGTGCGTGAAGTTGCTGTAAGAGTTCTGCGGGTGAGGAACACTGCATTGGTGTAGAAGTACTCATGGTTGATAGATGTAGACGAGTAGAGTTGATAGAAAGCTGAACGACGATCTATCCATGTGCTGTAGGGCTTCGAATTCAATGCTTCGCTCGCCATGCTTACACAACGTGGGCGTCTGGAGATGGAGGATTTACACACACATGCCACTTCGGGATTATTGCATTGATCGACAAGCTCAAGGCACACGTTGTAACCGGTGTGCAGGATGGAACCACGGCCGAACGCCTTGTCTTCATTCCTGACTCGTGTGCACTCTCCACTCGACGATGACGGTTGATGGTTGGCACAAAGCACCTCTACGACCAATTACAGACGAGGACGGTTCCGGGGATATCTTTGTGAGTCAGATTAGCGAGGGATCATTCCCGCGTGCTAGGGTCTACATACTTCACCTGCTGTTTATGGTTTGACGTCTGAACCTAGATTGTTGTGAGCTGACGCCACATGGAACAAACAAGCAGTAGTGCGGATGCCACTTAATACGAAGGTGGCTGACTGTACACTCCTTGAAATATAACACGAGGCTGGGCGGGGAACTAAGCTCATGGATCGACCGAGTATGGTTCCTGACAAGTACCGTCTAATCGTGATCCGATCTACTATTGAAACTGCGTTGGATGGATGAATGGAATAGGGCCCTGCCATCCGATCATGTATTGTTTCTAGCGCGGCTTGGCGTATAAATTTTACTTGCTTCATTTCCAAATGACACTCCGGGGTATATCAATGATCATCGTCCCCGGAATAGTGCCAAGTGATTTTTACGGCGTGGTGCATTGGAACAAGGCGGAAGCTTTGTGCAGCTCCGGGCTAGTGAGTTCGCTCAGCCGTGCGCCGTGGCGTTATGCTCCCTGTAGATTGCCTTTTTGTGTGGAACTGGAGCACGGGTAGCAACGGACCGCGGAGAACATCCAGGGCGAATCTGGTGTTTATTGGTCAACCCATTTCAGGGAGTGTTGATACCCCGACTCCTCCTCAAGCTTRTCAATACCCCGAGTTGGTACGTACTTCCGATCCTGTTTGTTGCATGTGCCGGACTGGATGTGGCATAATCAGACCAACTATCCTATGCAGCTGAGAAGCTAGTGCATTATGGATATCCTATCAGAACCAGAACCGAACCTCGCCACTACCACCGCCAATCTATTCTTCAGTACACTCTGGAACCATCACTATCACTGCCGGGCAGCAATATGCAGATTGCTGGCGCTATACTGGTTTGACCAATGAAAGCGTCACGGGGCCGAGTCCAGAAGCTAGGGATTAAGCAAGAAAGGAGCTTGTAGGAGCTGCATGGCCGCAGAAGCATATTCTCTTGGCATCAGAGCTGCTATCGATTGCGCTACGATACGAGGGTTTTGGAAGACCTGACTACCAAGTCGAAGAAAGCTGAGTTCTACCAAGTTGCCTGATGAGTCTAACTTTATGCCACGGCGAAAACAGTCAGTTGAAATACAGATAGATGTCCTGAAACTTGTTAGGTTCGGCGAAGTGCGCCTTGGCAGCCACATGCGCGGCGGTGCTAGCGTGGAGGCTTGTGATACGAAGCTTACATGTGGGGCCCTGCCCACCCTGATGGTTGTCAGCTCAAAGGATCTAGGCAAAGCAACCTTGCGGATCTTTCCCGATTCCTCAGCTTAGGATTCGGGACCCTCCCAATCTCTCAGCCCTGGGCCTGGAATCCTTCGATGGGATAAAGCAACGCAACTCGATGGCCCCTGCCACAGCGTATCTCGTACGGTTCCAGTCCCGCTCTCGCCTTTTAGGACATTTGTGTCCGTTCATTTCGCATCTCAAAACTGACCCATCGTTGTACAAGTCTGCATCATGACTAGTACGCATAAAAGTAGCCAATCTCGAATAGCTGGATCGAAAAGACTACGTAAGAGCTGCGATACTTGCTCCCAATCGAAGGTATCCAGCCAAAGAAGAACTACGCTCCGGCGCTTAGTTCGCTGACATCAGAATTATAGGTAGGCTGCGATAAAGTCAAACCAGTATGTGAGCGCTGCGCAGAACGCCGCCTTGAATGCAGTTACTCTGTAGCTCGTCGGTGTGTAGAACGCGATTAGATACATCCTATACTGCAGCAAAGACTGACATTGGATGTCCATAGCCCAGGCCGAGTGTCACAGCGTCATCAAAAAGACAGTCAGGGTAGCATTGCCAGGAGCCGTGATGAGGATAGCCTGGCCTCAGGTCATGAGTCCCGTCCATTGTCAAGATCTCGTCCTTTATCAGCATCTTCCAAGTCCCCTGGAAGCGATATGGGAAGAAAGGAGAGTCCATGGAAGCCCTCTGAAACATGCATCAACCTCGAACCTGTGGCTCACACGCCTGATCCAGCATTGATCAACCTTCATCCAACGAATGAAAACATGTCATTTGACGATCTCTACGCTTCAATGGTTGAAAATGGGCTCTTCGGGACTGGGGCCCCATCTCCTAATATCTCGCAAGACATAAACACTGCATATGACAGTAATGGCAATCAAAGTGCCACGACTGCCTTGGACTGGACGACAGATTTGTTCGGATTTGATGAAATCTCAATGAACTACGATACACTCCCCATGCTGGACTTTGTCAATTCTCCGAAAGAGCTCTCGATTTTTGAGCCTTCCAATACGTTCTCAGTGGAAATCGACAGTCGTTCCCAAACCCACAGCCCAGCGCACCAGAGCAAATTACCAATTTCCAGTCAGGTCCAGAAAGCATCGAAATGCTCCTGTTTGGAAACTTCTGCACTATTGCTACAACGACGATCAGCACCAGAGGGGGATGGTTCTCGAAAGGACATCGTCGAATCGATACTGGAGTCCAACTGCTCTCTGATTGAACAGACCGAGAACATGCTCCAGTGCACATGTGCGGGCGACGATTCCGTGCTGGTGATGATCTTCATGATTACCTTTAAGATCCTTGGCTCCTACGCGAGAGCTTTTGCCGCTCTCGACAGTCCTCCACGAACACCTTGTATTCGCCCGAGAGTCGTCGCTGAAGGGGGCTTCTCGCAGTGGTCACGGGAGAATGTTGCGCTAATTGAGGAGAACTCTGAGCTTCGCTCTAGCACGCAAAGGATTTTGAGTGAGCTGCATAAAGTGCAAGGGCTCATCAACAGAGCGTCACATGGTTACCGCGAGCAACGACGCTCGTCATCGTCTTTATCGTCATCGTCCTCATCAACGCTTTCGTCGTTGGCATCGTTAGCAGTCCGGACCCCTTCCATCACCACAGAAGTGGAAGTACCAGAGTCTGACGACAATCTCAAATTGCCGGACGCTCTACTAGATCAATTGGAGTTGGACTTGCGTAAGCGGCTACGAGCGCTCTCTACGAGTGTTATAGAGAAATTACGTTGTTTCTGATCGCGAAGCCCTTCGGGACTTCTGAGTTTCTACTTGGGCTAGACTACATCTATAGAGAATTGGTCATTAATGTCGAAAAGCTACTCATATAACAAAGTACTTCAGTGCAAGACGCCCCTTATCTGCTATCAGCGAGCTTCGTATCGTGCAAAATCCTAGAATTTGCTTGCCTGTTCGTTTTGAACCCTATGTTAAAAGACAGGAAGGAGTTATTCGCCCCATAGTATCGTAGAGTTTAGCACATGTAGTCGTAGTTATCGAACCGATTAACCTTTCTAGAAAGAAAGTTGCTATGATTGGTAATACTACTAGCGCTGTCTAGTGTATTTGTACAAGCCTCGAGTTCTAATCATCAGACTAAAGGGCTCTGCTCTTAATAAGAACTTTGGCATCTCAAATTTGACAGAGAGTTACGTAGGCGTCCGTGGGGCGATTTTGCCGCACTAGCATTAGCAGCTAATGACGGCGCATAAGCCAGAGTAGGTATGTATAGCAGTCAGACAAACAGCGTAGTGTATAATCTTCCCTCTAGAAGACAATACTAACAATACTATTCCAGTCTTCTACGTTAAGCGCGAGTCCTAAGTGTTAAGTGAATACCTCCTCTCTTAGTTTGTTAAGGTGGTGACCGAAACGGTGGGAACCTAGTAGAGAGTCGTGTTACATCATTCGACGCTACATGAAGCGAGAACGAATCACCCCCTTATGTGGTCGACATCGACTACCTCGATAGAAGAACCACATCATGTCGTCTGGCCTTTATGCCTTGGAACTTTAGAGAGTTCGAGTAAGTCGCCAAGATTCGACGGTGATGCTATGGTGTAGAAAGATATATAAGGACTCCCATTATATTCGTCTACAGGCGGGTCTCTGAACGAAGATTGACATAGATCAGATTGCGTAGTCTTTTCTGCACACCCGCTGAATTCGACTTTCTGAACTTTTGAATCCCAAATAAGGAATAACCGATGCCAATTGACTGATGAACTAGTCGCCGTCACCACAATGTAAAGAATATTGATTTATAACCTCCTTTGATCGATGCTCATAGTTCGTCTTCGGATTTTAGGAAAGCCAGTCTCTCATATCTAGAAATGGTTTGGTCCAAGAGGAACGCCCACAGCATTCAAAAGAACCTGAAGAAGCGCAGGCCCAAACGTTGCAACATTTCCAGAGTTGAGTAAGTCGTTGAAAGTGGTGCGAGTGGTACAACCACTTTGAGGTACGCCATTAAATCGAGCTATCAAAAAGTTGATGATATCGCCGACGCTGGTCGCGGCCTGGGTGAAGTGCTCGCCGAGCTCTTCACGGACGTAGTCAATGGAGACGCCTGCGTTGCAGAACTGCTGCACGAGCTTATCGGTGTCGGCTATGGGCGAAATTTCGTCCCGGACAGACTTGTAGACGAAGATGGGCATGGTTGGGGTACCGGTGAGGCCCATAGTTGCTCCCTCTTTGATTGTGCGCTGGACAATTGGGTCTGTGATTCTTGGAGTTAGCTTTGCTGTTGGGACTTGACTGGGTTTCGATAATGCGTCGGGGGGGTTTGTCTAGCAGATATCTCGAGCTGGGAACTCACCCTGGAATATGGTCTTGCCCTGCTTGAAGTATGTGAAGACATCTTGGCCAGCATACGTCTTCACGTCAGCATAAAAGCATTGGCGACCAGCCTGATTGAATGCGTCCGCTTTTTCAGGTTTCAAGCTTTGCTGAACAAAAGCGCCAAAGTCTGGGTATGCGTTGCCCAAGCCCAAAAAACCGGCAGCACTAAGACCTGCAAAGGGTCCCTTGTTGATGGTGTTGAAGACATTCTCAACATTAGGAGTCACACCGCCAATAGCCATCCCGACAAAGGGGATTTCGGGGGCATATTTGGTTTGAAGCTCGGCAGCAAACTCAGAAGCTAGGGCACCACCACTGTATCCCCACATCTGGACCTTCGCTTTCGATGAGACACTTGTAGTAGCACCAGATGCGAGAGCTGCACGGATGCTATCAAGAGTTGCGTATCCGGCTTGTTTTCCGGCAACGAAAGTAGACTTGGGTCCCTCCCAGTCAGGGGAGACCACGATCCAGCCTTGGTTCAGCGCGGCAGCGATCAACGCTGCTTCGATACCTCCGGTTCCGGCATATGTAGTGTTGGTACCAGTCTGCAGCGTGTATGATGGGGCGCAGTTGATCTCCCCACCACTGTCCTCGGCGACCTGATACGAAATCAACTTCTCTGGGTCGGCATTGTTTGGCACGAGCACAGTCGTGACTGTGGCAATGGGATTGCCAAGAGAATCGGTAGTCCTGTAAAGAAACTGCCAGGCACCCTTTAAGTTGAGAGGAATGGTCTGGAATAGGGACAGAGCACTAGGAACAGGGCGGCTTCTCAGAATGGCTCCAGGCGCTGCGGATTCGTAGCCCGAAGGTGCTGTGTAGAAGGGATCGTCTGAAGGAAGAGGAGCCTTATTTGCGCCCCCAAGAAGTACGCCAACGAGACCCTGAGGAGCAGCAGACGCAAGCCCAACAAGCGCAACGAACGCGAGCCTAACGGTGGAAACCCTCATGTTCGGCGGAACTTGTCGTGTATGGAGAGAAAGCGAGGAGAGGTTTATTGATGGAATAAAATTGCTGGAGCTGGAGGAGGATGCATCCTGGCATCTTATATATTGGCATGTGTACTTTCGCCTTGCTCTCTCCCCCAAAATCTCAAATAGTTGTCCGTCACAATCTCAAACGCGGCTCGATAGTCACGAGGGTTTAACGCCATCGAAGACCGGTGGTCTGAGAAATCGTGGAGAAGGCGGGGTGCAGGACATCCAAGATCCGAGGCGGCGACATGGACGTGGTCCTCGGATTGACTGATCGAGAATGTGTGAATATGTTTTCATGTGAAAGTCCGGTGCAGCCAATCAGGCGGCGCGGTCCTGTCTCCGGAGTTAGGTGAAGTCGAGAAACCAGATGCTTCCATAAAGTCGATCGGAACGAGAGCTTAAAATATGGAGCCACTACGACCACAACGAGGCTATGGACGCACCATAATGAGACTAGCTTACCACGTCTACCGTCGGCTTCCCCCACATGTTCGATATTACGGACGTACTTTCGCGGGCCTGCGCCTGTGATTCGATCCCGGCGTGGACAAAGAATCATGTTACATACATACATGATGCAAGTCCATTATTGAGGCATGAGCGAACACGGAACAACGGACGAAAGGCTCAAGAATCAGGAATCAAGAAGTTCTAGGACATCGATCTCCGAGGCGACAATATTTGAGATTCTCAGGAGGTCGATGTAGACGTAGTACAGTGTCGTCTGGAGGATCGTCTAGAAGGATCGAGTGAGTAGGCTGCGTACCAGAGAAACCGTTTGCGGGATTACCGCTTCTCCCCTATCCCCAGAGATTCGACAACAACATCAACCCTGCTCGCAGAACTTGCTGCTCTTCTTCATCACTCCGCGAGCGACTAACTTGGCAAGAAGGTCAACGCTAGAGGAAGCAGTCCCGTTCGATCGCTCTGAGAGCTTTCCGTGACGCCTGGGTTGGTCGATCGATGCTCAGAAAGCCAGCTTTATTGGTCTTTGTGTCAGACTTGGGTATCTCCAGGGCTGGACGATGACATCCCTCAATCTATCCTCACAGCAAATCGATGCGTGCTTGATGAATTCACTCACTCGACGACCCACGCCGTCACGACGACACTGTCGACGAGACCTACACGCAGCATACACTTCGCTCACTCCTCCGTACGTCCGATCAATAGCTTCGAACCATTGACAATGCGGCAATAACTCCACGGTCAAGCCGATATCGTATGATCTCTAATTCCAGGGGCCGCGCATTCGACCCGCATGTTCCCCTCAGCCACGGCGTCTACAAGCGACAAAAGTACCGCCCTCCGTGCTGCCTGCGCCGCTCATGTTGCCAACGCCGAAGCATGCGCCGTAGGCCAATCTCACCATCGTCACTAGTACGTTTAAGCACAGCTCCACGAACGCCGAGTGGTCTTTTGTGTCGTGATCTGTCTGTCAGTGGTCGAGACAACGATTTCAGGGGATTTTGGATGGGAGCGTCTAGGTACAACAGAGCTGATGGCGATTAATTATCGATAGTCCCGAGGATCTAGTGGCCGGGCTTGGGACCCCAACACCGCACGGCTCCGCTTTCGTGTATTCTGTTGGGAAAATAGGGCATAAGTAAAAGTGTGGATTCGAGGGATGGACTGGCTGAGGCGACGAAGGAGAGCATTAAGAGGTTGTTTGAGGCGATGAGAACGGACAAATGAAGAATKGAGCTTCCCAAAGATATCTGACGAGTACACGATGTAAATGAGACAGTTCTGGTAGTTTGCATTCAATTCGTATGACAGCATTCTGGCTTATGCACACTGGAACACCTCCATCTCTGATGGCTTTTGGCACCCCTCTAATGGCTTTTAGGGGTGTCACACGCGGGAGAAAGCAAGAAAAAAACCTACAACTCGTCCCGAACGATCGCGTGCTCCATTGCAATACGAAGACGACTCTTCGAGTTCGGTAAGACGTCATTTGCATGAGCCTCTTCATTCATAGCCATCTGATTTGCGACTGGACTATCGCGGGCTAAGACGACATATATAAGCAAGAAGGTAGCATCAACCTATAAACATATTGTGAAGAACAAGACTTACTCAAGAGCCTCAGGACTTGACGTCAGCAGTGCGAAGGACGAGCGTGCTTGGAGAAAGTGCTTCTATGTATGTTGATTTTGCTTCTTAGAAAGCTCATACAGGGTCTAGGTATATAGGGTAGGTACATAGGCTGGATCTTGCCTTGTACATACACGAAAGGAATCACGAAACTACGGGAAAGAGAGAAGCGCCTGAATGGAGGTCGCTTCAGCTCTTGAAATTTATTTGYAGCGCAGTACAACATAGCGAACAGACACCGGGAACGGCGTCGAATAGCGATTCACTGCTGCACACGCGCTCAATATATTTCTCATTGATCCACACATACTATGGAATGTAACTAATCATACTGCAGTGGAGTCCCGCAATCCTGCGTATTGCTTCTTCGAGCACCAACAGGTAGAGCTTCGCAAGCGAACATCGTCTCACGAACATACATGCTTTCGGAAAGTCTCATTGCAAGAAAAAAATCCACATGCTGCTGTGATCTGTGAGTCACTGTGGAAGCCCGGGTCTGCGGTAAAGCAAAGCAGTTGTAAAGGAACACATTTCGCCCTGGCAGCTCAGCGTTGTGTAAGGCTGCACGGCTACGCACAGAGATGAAACTAGCATACATGGGCGATCGTGCAGTGTCTACCCAATATGCGGGGATCGGCGGCTCCAGTTGTGCGACGCTCGACGGCTATGGGCAGCTCAGGTTCTCTAGCCATGGTCGGACCTCGACTGCCCCGTTTGTGACTGACTGCAGCTGACTGCAAAGGTGGAGGTGTTGAAAGTACGGTGGCTGGTCAAGCTACTGACTAATCCTCCTTGTATATATCCACTGGCAACTGCCACTTAGCTCTTTAGTTCTTAATAAAATCAATCACTTCATTACTAATCACTTTAAAAGGTTATGAGCCCGGGTTCGTGCCTTGTAGCAAAACCCAACTATAGGGAAATCACACTAACTACCTCTTTGTATCTCGACTAACTAAGCTGCTTCCGTAATACGCTATATACCTCCTTACGGTCGAAACACGAAGCAAAAGAGATGGCTATACATCCGTATAATCTCCCTGCTATAAGATAGAGTGAAAAACGATAAGGTATCGTCGGAACTAATTTCCCCGCTACCTCGGTTAACTCGTATAACGTCGGAAGAGGCTAGGAGCGCAAAACTAGTAACGCTAACAACATAATAATAACAACATCTAGCTACGACATTATACTACGCTAACATGCCTACTAGAAGAGGGAAGAGTAATAAAGATAAGGCGATAGAAGCTCGTCTTAACTAG